CTTGTTTTTCGTTGGGAGCGTTCAATTCATTTATTTTTCTAATTTAAATCAAATGAGAAAAGCAGCACATGGACAATAATTCAGACTGGAAATATGTTTGTAAGCATTAAAATGGTACAGAAGGATTCCAACTGACTAAAGAATGCAGTGATTTACAAAAGAAAAATTAGCAAGAGTAAGTTTTCTCAGTGCCCTAAACACCACCCTAGATCTTTACTGGGTTTTATAATTAATGTTCGTAATATTTTCTTGTGGACAACACAGGGAAACCACATTATGGCTGAGATAGGAATGATCACTTTTCTGCATGGCCTCCTTTTCTGCAGCAATAAATGCACATAAGGCTCGGTTTAAGAATCTCACAGTATACTTAAATTTCTGATCAAGCTGATTTGAATTAAGTCCTCCATGCTAACCTTTTTAAACACAACTTTACAACAGACTATAAAACTGTTGTTTAAACAATACTTCCCATAATTGCCACCAATAAATGATACCTTTTTATTGCCGTTAGAACACTCTTGGTTACCAGTTTCCACAGATCGCTGCAGTAATCTGTATGTAACTTTGTCTTATGTTGTTAATAACTGTATGGTTTTCTCTTTAGAATTCAGAAACTGGAAGAGCTTAAGAAAACATGCAAAATGCTGAGGATACACGTAAGTGAAATATTTAATGTCCATCATTCATAAAAGTTACATTGTTTACATAGGGTTCATTAGTATATAATAAAAATGTCATCTTAATGAAAGATTTTCTGGCAAGTTTTTATATGTTAATTTGTTTAACATACGCTTTGGCTATACAGCTAAATAGGAATATATTTTTTAAAAATCTTTCTGCAAATAGTTGCTTAACGCTTACAAAGCCTCATTACTAATAATTGGTTATTGTCACACTTGCTTGTCGCCTCGTAAAAATCATCTGCCTTTTAGACTGGGAATCTCAGGAGCAACTATTTGTAATGTACTTGCTCATTGCATAGTGACCTTGTAAACAGCTCAGGGATCCACAAATTATATCCATGTATTCTAAAAGTCATTGAGAGTTTTACATACTGCCTATGTTTTCGGATATGGAAGAAGAATTCGGGGTTGTTTTACTGCTGATGCCGATGGGATTTAAAAAAAAAAAAAAAGTGTCAGTTTTATACAGCGGGTTAAAAAAATAAAAGGTAAACACCAAAAGAAATACCTTTCGCTGTGTAACAGTATTGCTACCTCATTCTTTTTGATTTCATATATATAACGTGTTGGAACTGTGCTCTACTGCTTTTTTTTCAAAAGAAAAGTTTAAATTAGCTGGAACAATTAGCTAAGTGTTTACATAAAGTTAACTATGTTTGCATCAAATAAAATGTTTATTAATGAAAGCTATTATACAAGAAACATCAAAGAGAAATTCATCATACAGAAATGTACACTATATGTGACAGATGGAAAAGTGCATGCAGATTTGTCTCATTAAAAAAAAAAAAAGGATTCAGAAACAATAGTACTAAAGTTACTGGGTTTTGATTCCTATGATTTGGAATGAGTGAAAAGTTCTCTTTGAATTTACAAAAATCCATTCAACAGGTATGACTGGTACACACTAGCAAGCAAGTGGAATGAATGCACTCAGATTTTATTTTACAAGTACTTGTGCTTGACAAATGTGATATTTTTAAAGAAAAGTTTTCTTCGAATATGGGCTGGGTAGATTGCTGCCAGGTTGCTCTGGTTTTATACATAGTTTCTCTAAATTTGTTTTTAATACCACACAATTTGTTGAAGCCTCCAGTTCTGTTAATTAGACACCATAAAATAACATATGTTTTGTTAACATTCAGGAAATGACATCAAGTCTTTTATTTTTATTTTTTGGCTCGATAGATTTTTAAATGTATGATTATCATAACCTAATATTGTCTTTGTCTTCACTGCAGTGGATTTCCGATCAAACTTTTCCCCTTCTTTTAATACTTTAGGGAATTTTCAAACGTCGGGATGTTTGGCTGTAATGCCCCATGATTTGTTCTCCCTGAAAGAAATCATAGTGACAATTTATTAAACTACAGAGCAACCTGGCTTTTCGGGGTCTGCAATTCTAGTTTGTGTTCAATACACCTAGCATTAAATCTTGCTTCATTTCATCATATTATTTAGGTTATATTCGTCATGCAATTACTTTAGCTGCTAGCTTTCTGACTTTTTTAGAAGCCTATGCTGGAGTTTCCATATCAAATCAGTGGGGCATTACTTGGCATGTTCAAAAAAGGGGGTTAAGAGGCTAACATCTAAATTGCACCAGCAGTAGCACATACATTGAATAGGAAGAAATCAAAAACCTAAGAAGGGACCCTACTTTAGAATACTTAAAAGGCCGTGTTTGCATGTTTAACACCAATTGTTCGCAGGTACCGTAAAAGCAAAGAGACACTCCGGAACATGTAGGCTTTAAATTAAAAAATAATGATAGTAAAAACTGATGGGAAATAATAACTCCTTAGATTCAAAATGGTTTATTCACACAAATTTAATAGGATATATCACAATTGTTTGGTCCATAAATATTTAGGGGAAATAGTTTCTATACAATGCATTTATCAATAAACAAAGAAACATGGACAATTTTGCTAGACCACTTACTGTACTATAAACACGAAGCTCAATATATAAGATTATTGGATTTATCAACTATATCTGAAAGAGTGCACAACTGCTTTCTATGACATGTTTGTCCCCTCTAACAGGATACACCATAAAAAGAGTTTCAGAAATAAGAGGTAAAACAGTACAAAACTAGTGAGGTGTCAAAAGGGCTTAAAACAGTTAATTTAACAAACAACACATATATCCTGATTTTTCACAAACTTACTCCCAAGGTATATCATAAGGCACGTAGTAGAACTGAGTTTTAATTAGTCTACTTAATAAAGTAGATCTCTAGTACCATATATTGTTCTGTCAAAGAACAAAATTTATAAGTATCAATATTTTTACCTGTAAAAGTGTATTAATAAAGATCTCAGCCTTACCAAGGTTGTTTGGTCTGGTTAGTGGTAAATGCCCATAAGATAATAGAAATAGGAAAAGTCAAGATTTAATATCCGTAGAAGATGATAACCATACTTGCTAAATATATAATGGCAAACACACCTTTCCTCTATTACAGTGTTAACATCTCTTCCATCATCTTTTTTTTTTAAAAATAAGCTACTTTTCTGTGCTAATTTTCTAAAAACCCTGAGCAAAAATTACAATAATGCACTTTAATGTGGGCAGTGAACTGTCAATATGTAACCACACATTTATACAGCCAAAAAGGACACCTTTAAAATATATTAAATAGCCACTTTGACCACCAAAAAAGAGATTTGATGGTGTCTAAAAAGTGGGGTATATGTGCAAAGTTATTCTTAACAATCCACTAAAAGCAAGACATAGATCTTGACTGGTTTTTGTTCGGTTTTGTTTCTGAGACTCTCCACAATCTAATTGGTGTTCAACTACAATAAAAGGATACAAATGAACATTCACCACTGCCCAGACCATTCAGACTTTTAGCTTAAATAAAATTAAAAAAAAGAAAGTTTGCTATTGTAAACTAAGAAATGTATTGAGATCAGCATCCACAAGGCTTCTGAGTTTATCTGCTTCAAAATTATCCGCTGCCAATTCCCAATTTCGTAAGAATTTTTGCTAACATTTTTTTCCTTCTATACAAAGTTAAAAAAAAGGTAAAGCGTATGTTAAAGATAGCAAGGAACTAAAGATTTTAAGTTTGTGTGTTAAACAAAGAGTCTGATACAATCCCAGAAAACAGCTACAGTAAATTCAAAATAGTAATGAATAAATCGTACTAAAATCATGTTCCTTAAACATCTTAATAAATTATATTTTGCTTATTTCCATTTCCCTGAAAAACTGTGATTTATCAAAAGCTCCTTTAACAGTACACATGCTTGTGCATCGTTGGCAATCATTTCGGTGCTCGCTAAAGTAGCTGGACGACCCCTGTTTGCTTTAGTAGTACGGCACGGAGGCCGAGCAGCAAACTGTCCCCTTTTTTTTTTAATTTAATTCTTAACCTGTGCCATTTGACTGCAGAGCAGAAGGAAAACCCCTCCCTGTGCAATATGTCAGATCAGAGGGACTCCCACCTCGAGCTGTTGCTCTGCTCTAACAATACCCTTAACAGCAGCGAGCTCATTCCGCAAGGGCATTTCCCACCCTTGCCCTCCATAACTCGCAGAGGTGAGCTCGGAGACCCACATCCTCAGCTGTGCTGGATGGGCCCCACTCCAGGCCCCCACCAGGTGCAGCCCTCGGTGTGGGCCGGGTGCAGGGCTGAAGGGCAGCTCTGGGCCCCGTGGGGCTCCCAGCGTGCCCAGGAGGTCGGCCATGGCCCTAAAGCATTGCAAAGAAGCACTGGGACTTGCAGTCTGGCTACGTCATCGATTTAATCCATGTTGTATTTATTTGTCTACATTTAAAAAATAAATCGTACAAAACTTTTAGATGTGTTATAAAAATAAAAGGAAATCTCGGGTTCTGGAAGTGAACATACAATCGTGAAAGCAGCATTCTTTTGTCTATGATTATACTGACTTTTAGCTGATTATCAGGGAGAGGAAAGAAACTTTTGGGCTTTGTAGTCGTAGTGGTATTCATGTTTTTTTCAAGATTGTGGAAATAAGTAACATACAATTTTAAGAGGCACTTATTAGAATGACTCAGAACTTCTCTTCGTTTGTCTGATGAATTAAAAAAATTTGAGTACAATTTATCAACAATAAATGTTCGTTTATTATAGCAACATATTACTTCAAACTCATTTGCCAAGTGGCTGCAGATGCTACACATCAAGCTGTTTATTTTCCCAAATATTTTGTGGGTTTGTTATTTTGTTTAAAAAAAAAAAAGGCTTGAAAATAATCAAAATAATAATAATAATAATAATAATAATAAAGAAGAAGAGTAATATTAAAAAAAAAAACAAAAAAAAAAACGGCAATGTTAGAAAAGGTTCGTTAAGGTAGTTTGTGAGGGGCTCCCGGGTTCGTGGCTGTCCAAGTTAGAGGTCACTGATGTCACTACAGTGATAGTGGGATTGGTCAGGTCTGTTAAAGTGGTCGCAGTGCCGGGTGGAGTGAGAGCGCCGCTGTCTGCGGAGGGCGGTGCCGGAAGTGAGGTGCCGTCCGCTTTATCGACACCCCCATTCTCCTGCCGCAAAAGGTTCCTTCTGAATTTGGCTCTTGCGTTTTGAAACCAAACCTGCAAACCAATCCCAATGGATTTCTTTACCGATGCTTGTTTGTTTGTTTGATTGTTTGTATGTCTTTGTTCTTGCTTTTACGTCATCTTTTTGATGTTTGATTTGCGTGGCAAGTTGCCCACATCACTCTACAGCCTGGCTTGCTACTGGTGGCACCGGCTCACAGGCAGGCCCTGCACAAGGCCCGAGGCCCAGTGCCAAGTCCTGGGAAATCTGCTCGCTCACTCGCCCGACAGAGGCAACGTTTTGCATGGCCACTGGTGCTCATTTCGCCTGGGGAGTTTTAGGGTCGAGACTCAAAGATGAAGGCAAAGAGTGAACGAGCAGATTTTGGCTAAGGCTTAAAGTTTATCTTAATCATTTTAAAAGACTGACAAGGAAGGAGGGGAAATTACACTGTCCCTGTCATGCAGCTTGTTGATATCGGTTACCTAGTCCTTCTCTTTGGCAGGGTTCACTGAAAGTGTTTTAGGTGATTTGGAATACAGATAAGCAATCACTGCTAATAGATTCTCTTTGTCCCTAGATTAGTGCCCTTCTCTGCACACAGCTTGCAACACATACCTCACTTTAACTTCTCTGAGCTAGCACACACCATTACGCAGATTTTGTTAATGTCATTTGCTGAGCTCTTTCACAGGGAAGTAACTTTGCTATGGAGGCCCTTGGTAGTAAAAGGGAACAGGCTGATCCTGGAAGATCGTACTGGTCAAAGTTTGCGTCCTGTATCTTGAGGATCTGCTCACTGAGGGGCCACGTTAACTGCCTCTCAAGAGCCCAAGGGCTTCACCCACTATGTGTAAAATGAGTAGATTTGCTACCTCTGTCCTTAATAAGGTCAGCACATAGAGACTACAGATCCCAGGATGTCCCCCAGGTCATAGACTCTGGAGACAATTTCCTCATCTTGAGGATGCAACTACTTATAAATCACATTTCAGTATTTGGCTGCCTTCAGGTATACATTTGGCACTCCCGTCATGTAATACCACACCCCTCTGCACACCCACTAGGGACACACTAGCAAAAGTATTTATATATTGCTCTTGTTACACATATGGGAAATGCTATCGACTGGCAGCAGTAGGGGAAAATTCTGTCAAGCCTGCGATGGTGGCTTCTTACCTGCAAAACTCTCTTGGTCAGGCCTGTTTTCTGGGCAAGCTGCTTGAGGTCCTTGGCATCTGGGTTGTGGTTGATAGCAAAGTAGGACTTCATGGTACGAAGCTGGTGGTGTTTGAAGGAGGTGCGCATGCGCTTTGTCTTCTGGGATGGGGGATAAGGCTGCTGGTCTCTGTCCATGTGATCTGCCTCGTTCTCATTACAACCTGTTGGATAAATCAAGCAGCGAGTTAGTGGCTGTGCCGTGTGGATGATAAAGGAATCAAGGCAACAATCATGGCTAAGGTACTATTTGGGGGGAAGGAAGCAAGCTAGAGAGCAAGAAAGAAAAGAAGCGCTAACATGGTGCAAGACTAAGTATAGATGTGATAATTAGATGAGACAAAAAAGAACTAGAAGATGACCTTTTCTTATACTTAAAACATGCTATGTCCCCTAGGCCTTTACCTACTAAGGGCAGGCATAGAAAGTTATCTCTTCTTTGGCATTTATTTTCAAACAAGTCTTTTCCCTGTGGTGATGGTTTTGCTTTGGGCATCCAAAGAGTCATTTGAAATCTCATTCAGATTTTGAAATCTCACTCGTTGAAACACTCTTAGCTTGAGAGAAGAATAAAGGTCAAGCCAGCATTCTGAACGTTCCTAAGCCTTCCTCCAAATCACAAGTACCTTTAAAAAAGATGTACAGCAGGAAAGTTTGTTATGACAGTTGATCAGGAAAGCAGAAAATCTGGATTTCTTTGCTGATAAAATAAATGGTTTTGGACTCTGCCTGAGATTTTAAGTAAACTTCTTGGAAACTTTTCCTCTGTAAAGCATCTCTAGAAAGTAGTTGGTCAAGGCTTGATTCAGGCCCTCCATCTCAGTCCCACCCAGCAGCAGCTCTTAGCTGGTACTGATTAACGAGATTCCTGCAAGCAACCAAGTAAATAGTGGCTCCAAAATTTAAAAGACTTTCCCCAATTTCTCTGATTCCAGATTTCCAAAGCATCTGTGAAAGACTATTTTGTTCCAGATTACACTTCTCTGGATGTGATTTTGTACCCTAGAGTGGCAGCTATTCATGGACTTGTAGCATCACCACTTAGCACTGGGGAAAGACACGACAATATTGGAAAAAACAGAAGAAGAAGAAGAAGAAGAAGAAGAAGAAGAAGAAGAAGAAGAAAAACACCTGTTTTTTTCTCTTTGGCTTAAAAACAATTGGATTACTTTCAGGATACCACTTTGTAATGATAGCTCACTTAAACAGGAGAAGATTGAACACATAATCATAGCAAGGAGTACTAATGACTGAACTGAATTGAAAAGAAGTCAGAATGTGTGTAAACTAGACCAAGATTCATTACTTGATCATTTGAATTTTTGAACAGCTCTTGGCTCTCAGATAGAGGATTATTTACTAGGGCAAGCTGATCCCAATTTCTCAAAAAAGAGAGGAGAGAAAGACGGAGAAGACAATAGAGAGACACTGATGTTGACAGAGCTAAAAACAGGCAAACCAACTTGAAACCAAGAGAAAATAGAAAGCTTCTTGAAGGTGTTTTCTCTTCTGAATTATAAGACAAGTCAACATGAACAGACACTGTTAAGACAACGCTTTGACAGAAAATCAGGTGAATATTTAATTATAGTTAGATTTGCTTCTAGTCTTTGTGAGAAGTCTATCTGCACTTTCAAACAAAGCAAACTGACACTTCAGAAAGCACCAGGAGTCGAAATTTACCTTAAAAACAATTTCAGGATAGATTGGGATTTACATTTACTCCTTGTTTTCACAGGTAGTCACACTGCCTTTAGCCAAATTGTGTGGGCAGTAACTCATCAGCTGCCATAAAGCAGATCACCAGATTCAAACCTCAGGTTTTCCATCAGACATTTGTAAGCTGTTTGTGTGTTTTCTTTTCCTGGATCATTCAGGGGTATGGCAGCAAAGCAAACTTCCTCACGCTCCTCTGTCCTGCTTGCTGCTTTTTTTTTTTTTTTTTTTTCTCTTTTCATCTGTGCTCTACTTTGTTTGGACTTTCATTTTCAAGAGAAAGTAAGAATGGAGCTCGGAGCATTCTCAGACAACCCCTGTTCATGCAGTGATCAGATCCATCTCCCTTTTACACGGGTGAAACAGCATTGTGTGGCTTTGCCACATCATCCTGCAGAACTTAATACCATTGCCTGGAGAACCAGGAGAAAGCAGAAAATTGGGCAAGATATTGTTGCTTATTTCATTGCAATGGGATCAGGGAGTTGCTAATTTAATTTTGCTTTGGAAAGAGCTAGAACTCTTTGCTTCCTACTGCCAAGAATTTTTCAAGTGAACTCTTCTTAGTTTTTCACACACACATATTTATTATGAAGTAAAGTAAGCAGCTCTTGGAGCAACAGCTGTGTAAAATATTTTCCTAGGTAAATCTTCTTCACCCTCTCATTTCTATATCCTGTGAGCTGTAAGTCAACACAGTTGCCTCAAAATATATATCAATTCTATGATATAAGAGGTAATATAGAGTAAGCTTTGAATGTTTTAAGTAGTTTTGAATAATTTCTTCCATTTTTTCACATTAATTGCAGACAGTTCACAAGCGCGAATGGCTTTAGCTCACAACATTTTGAGTTATTTATTGTTGTTTCCACTTTACAGCTGAGAAGCAGAAATCAAACTGCTAAACAACATGCAAAATAGAAAAGCTGTTGTAGGTGCCGCAGCAGAAGCCCATTTCCCACCCTAGCCCCATGCTTGGCTCCTCCACAACAAAACTCATGCACAGGTCTGAGCCTGATCATGGGGGCTGTTTTTGGCTATGCGGATTTTTGCACACAGCTCTGTGGGGCTGTTGGCCTAATCAGGGTCAGCTGCACCGGTTGGCTTTAGAAATCTGATTTGTTTCTGTAACGGCCTGCCATCCCAATGCAGCCAGCTTCGTCAGACCTCGCTTTACCTGGGGAGGGAAGTGCCCTGTTCCCAGGAAGCAGGGAGCTGTAGGAGCACACTCGGCATGAGCAGAGTCGGCTGGCGTGGAGCACACGGTCCAGGACAAACGTGCTGGGGGCTGCAGGGTGTGAGGCATGCGGGGCTGTGCGGGCGTGCAGCAGGCTGCTATCCCTGGGAGATGGGATGTGGAAGGGAGGATGCCAGAGTGCAGGGCAAAGGATGGGAAACGCGTGTAGGAAGTGGCTGCCAATTATTGAGAAACTTTATCTTTCTCCTCTTTCAAGAAATAGTTCCATCCACTGCAACTCATTTCATAACTGTCAGAGGCTTGTTTTCCTCCCCTTGGATCTGCAGCACAGCAGGTCAATGGGCTGGACTCGTTTGCACCAGATGCATGCTTTTGCTGCAGGCTGTATTTTCTCAAGACCGTGTGTAAGTACTGGACACTGCTAGATAACGCTTAAAGCAAAAAATACAGCCCAACCAGATCAAATTCCTCAGCCATCTACATGAACCGTAAGACATCAAATTAGAGCGGTCTTCTTTGTTTGTTTGTTCAAAATTAGGTGAGACCTCAATGAAATGGGCTATATTTTTATAGTGGGCAGTGGGTTTTAATCTCGCTTTGCAGTCAGTGAATCTTCTAACCCTTGTGGTTGTAACGAAGGAGACTTTCAGGACTCGCACCCAAAAACTGTGACCGCATTCACAAGTAACGTCTCTGTTGAGTACGTCAGGGGTGTCTTATCATACCCACAACATTTCTGATCCTAATTCTAATGATAACTTATCCGTAGAAATAATTCTGTTTGGGGACCTGGGGAATTCGGGTGGCCAACTGAGAATTCGAGAGAGCGGGCAGACGGGGACCCCCCCCCCCTCCCCGCACCAGGGGCCGGCGCTGAATGAACCGGGGCTGTGCCACAGGTTCACTTTTCTTTAGCAGCTTTCAGGACTGATTGGAAACCGCTCCGCAGCCAGGGATTCCAATGTCATCTTCAATTAACAAGGAACAATTAGCGCAGTGATTACCCCAGCTCCAAGGTCTACGCATCAGAGGAGATGAAATAGCCTCGCACAGCCACCCCGTTCCCAGCCGCGGCCCGTCTCACAGCAGCCCCAGAGGACGTGCCGGGGAGGGCTGCAGTCTGCGCGGGGGGAGCCGTGGGCTGCTCACGGATCTCCGAGCAGCGGCCCGAACTGGGGCGGAGGGAGGGGGCTGAAACCGGCGCGGAGCTTCCCTGGCCGCGTCGCCTGGGGCAGCCGCTGCCCGCTCCCTGCCCGCTGCCCCTTCCGGAGGCTGCTCTTCCTCCCCAAGCTTTTGGGGAGGCGGGGGCTTTCTGTTCGGGTTTGTCCTCTCTACTTTCGGCTTCCAACGAAACTCCTCTTAAAGCGCCTGATAGAGCGTAAATCTCCCTTCCCTCCAGCCCCTAGCACGGGGTGCTCGGGCACGGCGTGGGTACTGAAGTGGCGGAAAGAGAGGAAATTTAATAGAGTCCGACACTCGTTTCTTTCCTACCGTTAAGAGAGCAGAAACCGTTCCTGTTAATTACATTTGTTAAGGCTTCGTTATGGGGAACAACATTTATTCGTTGGCCTCTTGTGCAGTTTGATTGTTTATGTGCCAGTAAATCGGGATTGTTTCGCCTGGAGAGTTCAGTGCTATGAATCGGAGACCTGCTCTGACTGCCTGCACATCGTGCTGGCCACGTTCTAGCGTTCTTTTGCTCTACATTTTTTTTTTTTCTTCTGATCCTTTTGGACTCTTATACTTTGAAATCTAAATGGTGAAGTGTTTTCATTAATGAAACACAAATAATGGCAACGGTATCTCCAAGGTTTCTATAGAGAAAGGTGTGGTGTTTCTCTGCTTTTTCTGTTGTTTTTGTCTTTACCCTGGTAAGCGGCTAAGTTTGAGTGTTTGACATTAATGGGCACAGACAGCCTTTGAGGAGGGCTGCTGTTAGCTTTCCTGCAAAACTCCAACCCTCAGAGAGCCGTTGGTTTGATTTGCCAATAGTTACGCGAGCCGGGGCCCGGCTGAGCTCCCCACACACCACCCGGCCCAGGGGAAGCCCGAGAGCGTTCCGAGCCGAGGACGGGGTGGGGGGTAGGGGGGGGGAAGCCGGGTGAGCTGCCCACCTGAGTTGTAGTTGACGATGTCCACTCCCAGGGCAGGGCTCTTTCGTTTCCTGGGCCTCCCCTTCTGCACGGTGCCCGTGCCGTTGAAGTAGGGCAGGGCCAGCCCTCCACTTTTGGCTGCCAACTCGGTGTAGCTCAGCTGAGGGGGGTATTCTCCTTGCAAAAGGGACTCGAAGTGGGCCCTGCAGTAAACCAGGTTGTCCTTCATGCCAAAGTGATCGCCCGTGGTCAGAGTCTTGTTACAGGTGGTGCAGGTGAAGCAGCTCAAGTGATAAACCGACTCCCTGGCTCTCATGACCATTTCAGAGGCTGAGATCCCAAGGTGGCAGCGGGCACATCTCTGCACGGAGAACCTTCTGAGGGAAACGAACGGTGGGCATCAACTAGAAAGGTCAAGGAAGACCTCGCCACGGCGCTGTCCGCCTCGCTCCTGCCGCGGGAGGTCGGCAAGGAGCCCGGGGCCGCGCACGTCCCTCCCCGCCCCGGGACGGCTCCCGCAGTCCCCGCAGACACCCGGCACCGCTGCCGTCGGGCAAACGCCTAGAGTTTTCCGCCCGGTTGACCTGTTCGCTTAGATCTTGCGGCGAGCAAAAGCTCCCCGCCGCCAGAGCGCGGAGAGAAACGCGGGAGGGGAGAAAACGAAGCGGCCCCATCCTTTCGGTCGTTTAGAGACCAGAAAGGCCGCGGAGGAGTGGAGGCTCCCTGGGGGAGCCGAAACGTTCGAGCGAACGGCCCCCGCTCAGCCCCAGCCGCCGTCTCCTCGGGGTTGGGCGAGGGGCACGGCTCCGCACGGTGCGGGCCTCGCCGCTGTCCGCCGCCCTTCGGCCGCTCCGCGCCGGGGATGCGGAGCGCTGCGGTCGGAGGGAAAGTTTCCGCCGGGCCGCAGGCTGCGTTCCTGCGCTTACCCGGAGCGGCGGGAGCCCGAGGCTCGGCTCTTTCGTCCCTTCCCGTGCCGCCACGTGCTCGGCTCCCCCGGCCGCCCGCCCGGTGGGTAAACGCGCGAGACTTTTGTGAGGGGACGCGTGAGGGGGTAGCTGGCCGCAAAAAGCTACTTCGCGAGCTTCCCGTGGGGAAGAAAAGAGCGGTTCGGTTCGTAATGCCTGGGGAGGGGACGTGATTTTGAACCCGTGAGAACTGATTGCTGTACCTGTAGTAATCCTCCTTGCAGTAAATACTGCCGTCCTTGGCAAAGCAGGTGAGTTCTGACTCCAAAGCCAGTTTACATTCACAGCACTTAAGACACCTGAGGTGCCATTGTTTGTCAACAGCCAGCAGGTAATATCTGTCTGAGATCTTCCCTCCACACCCGGCGCACAAAGCAGGCTTCTCTGGGCTCATGGGGGGCATGTTCTGCAAAACAACAGCGCAGGGATCAGACACGGAGCGGGGCGGCCTTGGGGCTGCACAAAGGGACCCTCTCGGGCCCGGGCCACCAAGTTCAGCTCACCGGGGTTCAGCTTTCGCGTTTGTCTCGTCACACCGCTCCTAACCAGCTCGTGTCTTTGCAGTATGTGAAAGCTGCTGATTAGGCCGCAGCGAGGGGAGAAAAGCAGATTCTTAGGGTTTCTGAAGTTTAAGTCAGTAGTTTCCCCATCGCTTTCACATTCTGATATTAGAATGCTCCCGAAGAATGACGTTTTCAAGTAGAGAAACACCGTTTTGCCACACTAGAAGTTTATGGCAGAGGGTGCATGCTTGAATCAATTTTCTGGTAAATTTTCTCCATGCTTAGAACAGCCTGACCCTGTGCTAGGCAAAACCAAACACTTTAAAGCAGAAATCAAAGAAAGGTGACAGGTGGCGATGCGAGGGGCAGTGGTGGAGGACGCTCAGCGCCCCGCCGGGCAGGGACGCGGCCCGGGCTCAGCCCCACCGCGCGTCTCTCGGCCCGAAGCGGTGCGGGTTCCCGGGCAGCTCCGGGAGCGCCGCTCGGGACAAAGGCGGGTGGAGGAACCGCGGCAACAAAAGCTCGGCCGGGAGGCTGCGAGAGGCGCCTGCTGAGAAACGGACGGGAAAAAAACGCCCCGAACTTCTTGTTCGAAAGTCGCAACCGTTTTAAAGTTGCGACTCCGCGTTCATTTTTTAAATCTGAAGTCGTTTTCCTCGCTCCCTTTTACAGCAATTGAAAAAGCGAGTGGAATTTACATTGCAAATTCTCGCTGAACAAAGCGGGAGCTATTTAAGAGAGAGGAGAAGACCCCGCGGCTGAAGCGGCAAGGCGGGCTGCAGGCCGCTACTCTGTGCGCTGTTCCTCGTGCGCGGAGGGCGGAAGCCCCACAAAGTTGGGAAGAAAGGGATCCCGTTCTCCATCTGCCGTGACATTAATGAAAACCTCGGACCCGGCACTAGAAAGGGGAGATGCTACTAAACGGAATAACCGGCCGGCGCTGCGTTCGGAAAGAGCAGCACCTCCGTACCGGTCCCGCACTCGAGACCAAAAATGGTTACGAGCAACGAGCGGCCGCGGGTTGCGGGTCCGTCCGAAGGTGCCGGGGGGCACGGAGTGCGAGCAGCCTCGCAGCCTGCCTGCAGCCCCTCTCCCACGGGCACGGCGGCCGAACCGGGCTGCTGCTGCAGCGGCTTTACAAAAGTCCCTGTTGCGATTTCACGCATTGCCCCTTACTCCAGAAAGCACACGCGGCAGCAGTTGTGAAACAAACGACTAACGGAGCCCTACACACGCAGCGCCCTGCGCTACAGCAACAGTGTCGGGGCTGTACAAGCGGGACAGGGGCAGGGCAGGACGGGGGCAGGCAAGCTCCCTTCTCCGAGGCCGAACTGCCCCGTGCGGGCCCACGCTCGCAGGGATCCCCCCTCCGGGAGGGCCGGCTGCTTTCTTACCGTTTCTCGGCCGTTCATCTGTCCCCCTTTAGCCAGGCGGGACTCGGTCTTGGATCGCCTCTCCATCTCCTCCATGATTCCTTGGATGTGGCCTCCGGAGATCCCGTGGAAAAGCATGGCTGGGGGACGGAAAGGACAAGTATTTTCTTCTGCTCTGCACCCCACTATTTCCATATACAGACCCCAGAGTCTTTAGATCATCCGAAATGTTTACACCGAGGCGCACGGCACAGGGAAGGAGGTTGCAATAGGAGCTTCTCTTTGCTCAAGCACCGAGGGCTTCCTGAAGGTGTGCGGAAAACAAACAAGGGGAAGAAAACGTAATAATAATTAGTTTGAAAAATCAAAGAAGAAAAACGAGCTAAAGGATCTGTTACTGTTCTGGAGAGCCGGGGCTCCTGACCGGAGAGACTCGGACCTGGGGCGGCAGAACCGGTCGGGAGAGGATATAGTTTTGAATACAAAGAAAGCAAAAAGAAGTGCTATTTTCAAGCAGTCCCTGGTTGCTTTAAAGTTCCCAGTGCCTGTAGGTTGGATTTGGGACTGCTGCCTTCCGGAGCTCTGTCCAATTTGTTAAGAGACTAAAGCCAGCCCATTTTTGATAATTTAGTAGGAGGAGTTCTCTCCCTTGAGCCGCCACTGATTTTTATTCAGACAACAAAGACCTGTCATACTCCTCTCAACCCCTAGTGATGGGCAAGCAGCGACAAACATCGCAGCCGGGCCTGTGGGTGGGGTGGGCTTTATTACCTCCCCCAAACGTCGAGTCCCGCGAGGCGGCGGCGGGGCCGGGCTCCCCGGGGCCACTCCGTACAGCGGGGACTCCGCGCCCGGGATCGGGGCTCCGAGAGCGGCGGCAGCCGGGGGCTCCGCTCGGGTCCCGAACGGTTCTCGGGCACAGCCCGCCCCGCCGCCGCCGGGAGGCCCCCCGCCCTCAGCCGAAACGGGACCTCGCCTCCCCCCGTCCCTCGCCACTCCGGCTGCCAGCGGTCATCGCGCGCAGGGGTCCGGGAGGCGCATTCCTTCCTGGCTAATCTCTCTCCTGCTCTCCCTCCCCTCCACTCCCCTTTTTCCTACTTACTTTTCACACTGCTCTTCCTCGCCTTTCCCTGGAACAGCTGCCGGCTGTTTCCTGACACCTCGATCCCTACCGAAGGATCTTCCTGGCGGCAGCTCCGCGCTCCCCACTCCCTGGGGGACGCTCTACACCGAGCCCCAGCGCGGCCGCTGCAAGGAGTGCCCCAGCCCCCACTTCCTCTGCAAAGCATCCCAGAGCCATCCTCGGGGGCTCCTCGAGTCACCTCTTCCCTGTAACCCAAGATCCAGGAGGCGGGTTTCCTCCCTTCTCTTTCTCCCTAAGTAGCTAAAATTAATGTTATTTGCAGATTGAATGTTGCTACATTCCTCCGAGTGCCAGAATACAGCTCATAAAACACAATTTCACACAAAGATGAAGTCAATCAAGTGAAATAAGCCGGGATTTTTTTTCTCTGTTGGCACACTAGACTCCGGACAGCAGGGCTGCTATTTACTGTAAGTAATGTAATTAGCCCTTTTGGATGGAAATCAATGCGTTGTATGTGCGTGTGTGTTTTAATAAGAGTAATAGCTATAAAATCGACGAAGCTCAAAGGGGTGAGGGAATCTCCCTTAAAACGGGCAGAAACCCCCCACCAGCCGTGGAGTCCTGCAGAGCAGTCCCGGTTGAAGATGAAAAAAACAGAAAAAAAATTAAATTAAAAAAAGAAAAAAAAGAAAAAAAAAAAAGAAAAAAAAAAAAAAACAAAAACAAAAACAAAAAAACTGTAGAAGGGGAAGGAGGAGGGAGAAATGGGCTTTCCTTGGAGAAAACAAGTCAATTAGCACAATGAGCCATCAGGAAAAAATAAAGGAGGTGATTCGATCCGGGGGCCGGGAGCCGTTCCGGGCCCCCTCCCTCTCAGTGCCCCTCTGCCCTGCGGCAGAGCCCAGCCGGGCCGGGCCGGGCCGCGCAGCCACTTCATGGGAGCGGAGCGGCCCGGGAGGAAGGAGGGAGCGGGGAGCGCGGGCGGCCGGCGCCGGGGAGAGGGCTGGGAGCCCTCGGTAGGAGTTCTCGGCCGGCACACGGCCGTCCGGCTGCGCGCAGCCCTGCGCCTGCCCGGCGGGCGCCTGCGGTGAGGGCAACATCTCTTCTAGAGACGAGTTTAGTCATTGCGTTAAATATTTGCACTGTGGTGGCACGTTCAGGGTTTGGGTTGATTTGCTGCTAGCGTTTTTTTTTTTTCGTTTGTTTGTTTTTTTGTTTGTTTGTTATTTTTTTCTCCCAACGAAATGTTCCTTTATTCCCGTCCAGCTATTTTGTGGGGATCGCTGCCTGCCCCAGAGCAGAGAACAGTTTTGCGTTGGCTCCGCGCTTCCCCCCGCGCCGTGCAGCACAGGCGATGCTCTGGCATCCCCGAACCCCGTCCTCCCTGCGCGGTTCCTGCGTGTCCCTGCCGGTCCGGGCGCTCTGGGCAGCGACGTGCCGCGGGTGCGGGGCCGAGAGCCGCTCCTTGAAAGCGCCGAGCCCGTCGGTACCGCATTGCCACCTCCGCCCGGGCTCGGCGGCTCCGTCAGGAATAATTGGGCAGGCTTGTAAGCAATGTCAGGAACGACGGAACCTCCTCCAGGCGGGCGCGCTTAATTAATGAGAGGGCCCTTCCTTTCTGCTCCATCAGGTAGCGTTACGGATCCGCCGCTCCGCTAACGGAGGCCGGAGGTTTCTAAAGCGCTTACTGATGAATGTGTTGCTTACTTAAGGGGACATCAAAAGTTTGTTGCTAGCATCAGACGTGAGCTCTCCGTTTCCAAAAGCCAGCGGCAGCTCCCGGTACACCGGGATCGCTGTCCTGGCACCGCTCCGCTGTGGGCGGGTGGTGAGGGCGCCCCGGGCCGGGCTCTGTGGGAGCCGCTGCCCTTCGAGCTGGGTAGGATAGCCCGCAACGGAGCATCTAAAGCCCAAATCGAGGTCTTCATCTCCTATGAAGCCATTCGCATTAGCACTTGGCCTCCGAATGCAGCTCCTCGTTGCGGGTGCAGCAGCGCTTTGGGAAGACATCAGATGGGCAACGTTCGAGGTGTTTCAGTCAGTGCAGGATTTTTCCTTCCCTTAAGTACGTGCTCGGCCTTTGCAAAAGTCCCGAACAGTGAGATGGAGGGAGGGGGGGGTTCGGCCGTGGGACTCTGCAGCCCGGGACAGCCCGCAGCCGCTCGGCCCGCCCTCCCCGGCCTGGCTTTGCCATCAGTTCCCCCCTCCCCCGACCCCCCCTCCCCCCCCGCAGTCCCCCTGCGCTCCGGGCGGGCTGCGGCACGCGATGCCGGCACCGCTCCGCTATAGAGCTCTCATTCTTCTCGGCCACGGGCTCCAAGCTAAAGCCTATTACAGCGTGAACGATCCTGCGCTCAGTTCGGGGAATTTAGGACAACATCTACATGCGAATTAATAATTAACCAGCAATAATTAGAAGAGAGGGGAGGGCACTGCGGCGGGGAGGGAGCAGGGGACAGAAGGAGTCTGATTCAGCCCGCCCCCCCTCCTGGCGAGCCAGCGCCAGGAGCACGGCCGCGGGAGGGCACAGGGCTCTGTCCCGCTCTGGCACCCGAGCCCCGCTGGCACTGCCCGGCACATCGCGTCCGGAGGATCCGAACGCAGAAACGGCGACAGCGAATGGCAGTGCTGCTGCCCGCGCCGGGCGCTGGGAGCCGGGTCTAGGTTCACAACCTATCGCTATTTTCTGCTCTGCCAGCTCGTTGCGGGGCACGGGGCTACTGCCGCTCCGCCTCGTCGCCCCGTGGAATCGGGCACACAAACAGAGAATTGGAGTAAAGTCGACTCTCTCGTAGGTGATACCAAATGTAGCCAAGGTTGCTTTCTGCATTTAAATTGATTGCATTATATATATATATATATGTAATATCTTGGTACTGTTTCAAATTCCCCTCTGGCGTCCGTAATAACTTCTACCGTCACCGCCTCTCTCCAGTCCCGCACCCCCGGAGCAGAGCCGCTCGGGGTCAGCGCCGCGACACCCCGCACCGCTGCTCCTGGCCGGGCCTGCGCTGCTCGGGCACGTGTGGGGCTACCAGCACAGAGCATCGGGCCGAAAAAAGCAAAACTCAGAGCGCCCGGTAATCCGAAAACGCGCACTGAGCCGCGTATTCATTTGCCGAAGGAGGTGATACTGAGATAACCGACCGCGATGAGCTTAGCGTGGCACTGCCAGGGACGCATCCCCTCGGCCAGGCAGCAGCGAGCAGGGCTGCGGATCGCGATGTGCGCGCAGCGGCTCTGCTCACCGCGGCGGAGCGCAGCCGGCAGCTCCTCCGCGGTTTAACGGTAACCCCCATCGAACGCGCACTCCGGGTGTAATTTAGCCGTCGGAAAGTACAGTGTTTAGCTGCTTTTGGGAAGGATGCTCCTAAAGGCTACGTTCACGGGCAGGTAAGGGGAGCCTTTCGTAGGAAGGAAAAAAATAAGATGAGAAAGAAAAAGGAATACAGAACACAGCTCCGTATTTATTAAAAAGAACGGCTCGGGCTTCCCAGACTACTGTTTGTCAGGATTAAAACACCCGCACCGAACGCTGACTGCGAAAGCACCTGGGGTAACCACCATTCTGGGCTGTTGGTTTAAAAAAAAAAACACAACACGACGGCAAAGGAACACCCGCAAATGGCATCGTGAGGTCTGAATCGCCGCACCGCTTACAGGGGTTCATGCAGGACCTTACCTTGCGACCTTAGGAGCTTCTGCCCAAACTGTGCCCTCCTTTATGAGCGGCGAGGGCTGGGGTCTGGGTGGGGAGAGGCTCGGTGCTCAGCCGCGAGATGGAGGTGGGTCCTTCTCCCTGGCGGAGGATCCCTACGTTAATTAAAATAAACAAGCTGCTGCGTGGAAGGATTGTTTCCCTCTCCCCCTCTCGCCTCTCTCCCCCTCGCTACATCGCTTCTGATTCGGAATTGACGCGAATTTCTCACCTCTGACCCCCGCAGCACAAGCGTTTACCTGCCTTTTCTTTGCTGCCCGCTTCAAAATATTTACTTCGAAACAAAACAAACAAGTATTAATAAAAAGAACGAATGAAAACCAAACCGTCTCCCTCCCAGCTTTGGCCGCTTTGCTGGGTTTTCCTGCTTAGCTGTCTCAGCTCCTCAGTAATCAGGTGAGGTGTTAATGGGAGCCGGTTGTAAATAAAACTAATAAAGCAAAGAGCATATTAGGAAATTTAAAAAAGGCGAGGGCTGAGAGGCTGCTAAAAATATTGCGGTGAGCGGTTCCCCATAGTGTCGCTTGCTTCGTTCTGTGCTTAATTCACTGCTGAGCGGCGAACCCCGTGTTGTTGCCATCTCGCTGCATTATTTTTTTTCCCCGAATCGTGCCGAACCAGCCGCGGACTGCAGCAACCCTTCCCACTTCTACAAAAAGCGACTCGAGAATGGAATCGCTAAACAGCAAACTTCAGCCTGATCTGATGTGATATGATATACGTACTCGCGGAGCAAGCTCGCTTTGCCAAACCCGATGAAACTGTGAGTTGTCATGCAATACTACGCAGTCAAACCTGGGATAATTGAAAAAGTGAACCCAATTTAACCCATTAGAATAAAATCAGATGCCAAGTTGAATCGGAATCATTGCTTCTTAGGTGACAGGACCGATGACAATTGATCCACCGACTCAAAACAACAGAAAAATAGAGGCTCGAGGCTCGCGTTTGACACCCGGAGCCGCTCTCCGCGCGGTTTGATGCCCGCCCGGCCTTCCCCGGGGCTTTCTCTGAGCTCCTGTGACAGTCTCAGCTCCTCTCCCCTGAGCCGTGTGACCGCCAGGTCGATGTGGCCAGCTTGGTGATCTATTCATACAAAAAGAAAAGGGGGAAAAAAAAAAAGAAAAAAAAAAAAAAAAAAGAGAAGGAAGAAGAAGAAGGAAAGCCGGCAAGGGATGCTAACGATCTGCTCATGGAAAGGAACCGGGCGGAGGGCGGAGGCAGCGCTCCGCTCCCTGGAAGCAGCGAGCGGGGCCCCTCCGGGAGCCGCGCCCGGAGCCCGCTCCGCCCCGCGGGTAGCAGAGGGGTCCCGCGGAGCGACAGCGCGCCCGGAGAAGCACTCGTGGAGGTGTCGGAAGGGGAGAGGGGGGCAGCGCTGCTAGCGGAAGGAGAGCGGAGAAAGCCCCGCAGGGCGTGCCCAGTGCGCAGGTGATCTAGGGTGCGCTGTGCCGGCTGCGGGGCATGGCCGGTTTGATCCCTCGGGTGACGGTAAATCGCTCCTCAGTGGGAAGTTTAAGCCGGGGCGGCCCTAGGTATAGAGCAGCCCGGGCTGGCGGCGGGGCGGCTGTTGCGTGGCGGCTCGGTGCCCGGCCCCGCTCCCTATAGCGCCCGAGGCGTCGACCCTCTCCCTGCTGCAGGGGCACGGGCCGGGCTCCAGGAGAGCCACCTGCTGCCAGCGCCGTGCCCCTCACCGGAGGATCCCGCTGGCGACGGGAAGCGGGCCGAGGGTGCTGGCCCCGCGTTCAAGCACAGCCCCCAGTGCCCCTGGGAGTCCGGGCTCGCCTCGCCCGGCCTGCAGCCCCGTTGCTAACACGGCCGGGACAGACTTCAGCTCTAAAATGCACTTCTTTCCCGTCTGATGGACGTCAATATACAAACGAAATCCATTTGGATGTGTTCTGTTACCAGAAGGCTGCGCTGACGTTCAGATGATCTAAATCTTAGCATCTGGAAGCCTGTACGAGCATCTTTTTGGAATTGGCTTCGAGACATTTCGTTCAACCGGAGCCAAGGCTGGAGCAAAATAGGACACCGAGAACAGACAATAGTTTCCAGCCCAAACGAAACCTCCCGACTCGTCAGAAAGTACGCGGATGAAAAATGCCTCTCCGCGTAGCGCGGCCCGTCGTGCCCCCCGGCCAGTTCCGTAGCCGCGAGGTCCGGGCAGAGGGCCGGGGCCGCTTGGGGCTGGGCTTCTCCGCGGCTCTTGGAGCGCCACCGCCCATCAGCACCGCGGCGGGACGCGTCCCGGTGCCGCTCGGTCTGGGAGCTGATCTGAGGGAGATGCTGTGCCAGGCAGTAAGAGCAACAGCGCAGATAGCAGTGGCTGCAGTAAGAAATAGAGGGGCTGCCTTTTGCCCGGAACAAAGGCGGGGGAGCGCCCGCTGAGGGTCTGTCCAACGCGCAGGAGGGCTCGGCACCTCCCGGCTGCTCGTAGATTTGTGTAGCATACTTTACACTTCGTATTATGCTTGCAAACAGAACATTTCTGTCTTCCAAAGCCTTTTACAAACTTGGACACTGATCAGATAGACGTTCAATCAAATACGAAGAATGTAAATCATTCAAGAACACAGTCCAATCTGCCCAGCCGGTCCTCCTCCCACCCCATCTCAGGGTAGGCGCTCAGCTCAGCATGGGTGTGTGGGGAAACCCAGGGCTGCCCCAGGTCAGACCCAGCTGGAAGCGCGGCCCGGCCCGGTCTGCTGCTCCCCGGTACCCGGTAGGGACGCAGCATCCTTGGGGAGCTGCGGGCTGGGCTCAGCCCTAGTAGCAAATCGCCCCTGGCGGCAGCTGTCCGTGAAAGCACTGCCTTCAGGCAGCACAGCACACAGTTCAGTATCGCTGTCCCTGACCCCTCCAAAAATCAACCCAAACTCCAGAGTGTACCCAAATTAGCAGTATTTCTTACATGTTGCACCGTACGCAATAGTGATGATAAATACACCCAAGGGATGTAAATTATTGCATACACCTGCTTTCCCGGCTTCCTTCCAAGTGAAATTCATGGTATGACCAGATACAATCCAACAAATGGATGAACCCATTACTTGTAGTGCAAAAGAAAGAGGAGAGGTGATCAATAACGCTGTGCCAAAACACACGCACACACCATTCAGTTGGTGCTTTATTGCAACAAAAGCGCAGTCACCGTGTGCCGGCTGCAGGCACGGCGCATGGCAGTGAGCTGGTGGTGGCAGCCACGTGGAGCTACAAGGTGTGCTCAGGTCCTGCAGCCGTTCTCGCTGAGTGCAGAGGCGTTCACGGTCACACATAGAAAAAAGAGTTGAAGCGCTTCTTTTTCGACTGGTCTCTTACGTTAACTTGCTCATATGGACACTGCAGAAGAAATAAAACAAGCCATTATTGCATTACTTAGTAATCAGTATGGAAAAGCCCGGCTCGGCTTATGGTTAACAGGAATTGTTAATGATATATAAATCATTTGATCTATTGTGCCCTCCAGACTAAAAGGAAAATAATGGCAACCCCAAGCAAATGGTCCTAATTAGCGTCCAAGAAACCACTTCCTAAATGTATCCTTCCAACTCATTCCGGTTTGACTGTCCAGAACAATCTTTTGTTCTTAAACTTCTTTATTTTGTATGTAACTGCAGAAATGCTGTGCATACTGCAGCTCCCAGAATAGCTCAGCTGAGAGCACAGCACGGCACAAGGAGCAGAGGGGAGAAAGCACGATCCCGGGCTCTCAGTACATCTGTAACCATGTTCTGATCAATTTAAACTCTTTGTCCCCAAAGCCCTGTGTCCTGACAGTTCCCTTATAGGAAGAGAGAGATCTCACTGAAGAAACAAGTCTTTGCCACTCGGGCAGCAACTTTAAAAAGGAAAAGCTAAAGCAGAGCCACAGTCAGCTCCACATATTTGAACTGTGTATCACATGTGCTCACTCCCTTTCTCCACTGCTCTCAGAGGGATCTTTAGGTTAAATGCACCATGGCCAGCCCCGTGTATACTGCACCCTGAGTGCTACCCACATGAAAGTTCAGGCACAGCTGTAACCAGAGCCTGCCTGGGGGATGATTGTGGCCTTGGCCTTGTCTGTACTGGAAGCGACAGAACTGGCGCTCCTTGGATCTATGTATGTAAATCCACAGTTCTCATCAGACGGACCCTATTGCTTAATGACATTCAGCCACTGTTCTACCAAATCCTGCACCTTATGTCACTTCTCCATCTTGCTACAAAACATAGCTTCTAAAGTTTGAAACAACATTCTGGAAAACAGAGCTATCTTTGAGACAAACCCCATCTCCCATCCCTGAAATGGGAATGCTTGTTGGACACAGGCTTTGTGATACGCTGCTTCTTGCCCTTGGCTGAGGGACTTGTGAAAGGGTACAGAACTTCCATAAACTAAAAGTCAGTCAAATAACTCCTGTGCAGGGCACTTAATGCTATTTCTAAGAGATAATGTCAATGGGAAATGCTCCAATAGTTTTATTCTCTGCCAATAACCTTCCCTAGACTTAACGTGTCTGAGATCCTCTCCCAGGCAGGGCAGAACACACAAGATGTGCTACCAACTCCTGCTGCCCGAGCACCAGTAACATACAAGTCACAGGGACGGCGCCCAGGCGGGGCTGGGGGACACGGCTTGTACTCACATGTCTGCACGCAGAGCCACAGCATTTACCTCTCCGCAAGTGGGCAGCCTCGGTGAGCACCTGGTAGCCCGTGGCTGGGTCCACGTAGGTCTGCCGGCCCGCCTGGGGACAGACACACAGCTCAGCCCGGGCCGGATACAGGCAGCGCTTCCACTTCGGCTGCTTTCCCTTTCTGCGCTACTTCCTCTTCCCTTTCCGAATTCCAGCCTCTCGCATTTTACGTGTAAACCATCTCACGCAGTTATCGGACAGTGTCTAACATCTTTCACCGCTTAAGATCTCCTCGATCTGCAGCCTCGCCCGCTCCGAGCCCCGGGCCCCGCGCCGCACGCTCCCGCATGCAGAGCCCCCCGGGCCGGCCGTCGCCGGCCGCCGCCGGCCGGGCCGCACTCGGGAGGCCCCGGAACGGCGCGGGGCGGACGCGGAGCCCCCACGGCGTCTGCGCGGCGCTGCCGAGAGGGGCGGCTCCTGCCCTGGGGCAGCGCTCTTCTTGGGCCCGGCGTTCCGCGCGGCCTCCCTCGGCCCCAGCGCCGCCCGCCCGGAGCCTCCGGCGCAGGGTCCCGGAGCACGCCCCGCTCTCACCGCAGCCGCCTCCCGGTGCAGCTCCACGATGCGCCACTCCAGCGCCGTCAGCTGTGGGGCCGGGGGACGCCCCGGAGGCGGCGGGCGGGCGGCGGCGGCCGCGGCGCTGCGAGCGGCTCCCGTGGCGGCTCCCGCGCCGGGCCGGGCGCTCAGGGACGGCCGCCGTGCGCTTCCGGGCACGGGGAGGGCGGGCGGGAGGCGAGTGGGGGCCGGTCCCGAGTCCCGGCTGTGCCCGGCGGGTGGCGGCTGCGAGAGCTGTGGAGGAGTTCGTTGGGGACGGCACAGGCAAGGCTGGTGGCAGTGTGTCCTTGTGCCCCTGTGTTTGGGTAACGTGTACAGATGGACGGTCACATCGTTCCCGTTCCGTGTTTCAGCACGGTCTCAGGTTGCACGTGGTGTTTGAGATCTGTGACGCACTCTCGCCTTTCACACCTCTCCTCGTGCTTTCAGCCCAGTCACCACCAAGCGCTTGCGGTTTCCCATATTCCTGTGCTGGGCTGCTTAGCTCTGGCCCCGAGGCCCTGGTTTCACCGAGCTCCTTCCCTCTGGCCACTGTCTCCGAGGAGCAGACAGCAAACCGGCAGCGCAGGAGCCCGGTGCCTCTCCCCGCCTTGTGCCTTTTGCTCGGCCTTCTCCAGTCTTGCGTGCTATGTCCCATCTCTCCAGCCCCGAGGTCCCAGCTCCCCTCTTGCTTCCTTACCCATTTCCTTTCCAGGCAGCACTCGCCTTTTTACACCCTTTTTTGGCCTTTCCAGACATGATAATTCTGGTGGGACCCCAACACAAACTGTTCAAAAGAAAAACTGGATATGAAGTCATGTATTCCCCTGAATCTGGGCAGTCCAGCTGAAATACCAGCCATCAAAGAGTTTGGCTGCACTTTCCCAGCTGGCACAGCAGGATATAAGGATACATGGAAGCAGGGTTTGTTACCGTTTATGACTTGGCCAGTTCCAGAAATGTTTTCCCCTTGTGTGTGGCACAAGGCATACGCCCGAAGTATGTTGCTTTCAGTGTGTTGTCTCCTTGCCAAACATGCTGCTGCAGGGGACATGAGTGCTGCCTGAAGTCACTGCAATACTAATGTGATTCTCAGGAGCACAGGGCAAGAGAGATGTAGGCTAGTTTTAAAGACAGTGCATTACTAGCTCCACCTTTGTGTCTATGGAAAAAGCTATTTCTCAGCAGCAGTAAATAATTCTAAGTAATTATTTTTAGGATGGAGTAACTGCGTTAAATCAAAATTTAGTTTTATTTTTAAGTGCATGTAATGTTCTGTGGTACTTTCCAGGATCCAGAAGTGTACACAAACATAACGCCCAATCTGGGAGCTTGTTTTTTTTCCTAGGTCTGCCTTACATTCCATACAATAACTCCCTTATCACTCAAGAAAAACAATCCAGGAAGCCAGCAGCCGAACAATGCCATAATCTTAGTGCAGTAGAAGCTTAAATCTTCATGTATGACTGAATGTGCCACCTCTGTGTTTATGTGCCCAAGGCCTCACCAAGCTCAGTCCCACGTACCATGTCAGAAGAAGAGATGTCATTTACTGACCTCACAGCTCTGCAGCAGCCTTTGGGTGTCCAGCATAACTGCTTCTTGATGGCTGTGGAAATGGGAGCTTCCCACTAACTGGGAATCTAAATCTAAGCCCTTCATATCCTATTATTTGAATTACCCCCCCAAAAATAATAGTGGTATTCAGGATAGATATTTCAGTTGGGTTTGAATGATGACTGAGGAGGAACCATGGACAAGGAGTGCAGGATAACAACTGCTTATTATGTTCTTACAGACTTAATTGGTGGACAATGCAGTTTAGCACTTCTGACCATAAAAACCAATACTAAGTTAACGAAATCTGTATTTACTAAAATCTCAGGAATGGAAGGTGTGTTGTTTCTCAGCTTAGCAGTGCATTTCACAGCTGGGTGAGCTGTACATTTCAGTTAACCAATGCAATGAAACAGGGCTTGTTTTGCAGATGCTGGTTCCAGTTCTTTAATCCTAGTCTCATGAAACTTCAGCAGCAGCTGACAATATCTCATTTTTCAAGGAAAAAAAAAAAAAAAAAGACAACACATTTGAAATGAGCAATCAGTGCTATTTATTTATTCAAGACTGCCCTACATTCTGAGTGGGTAAGAAGGGACTGGTGAGCAAGGCCTTTGTCGTCCACTTGGCTTGAAATGTCTGCAACTGGCAGACACTGTTCTGCTCTCACAGAACTGCCAGTGAGTGCTACTGAGATACAGAGCTTCAGATGGGCAATGCTGGCTGCTCGCTCTCAACACGTGGAAGGTCCTACCAGCAGATCTGGGGCTGGCTGGGAAATCCTGCATTTGTTGGGGCTTCTGCAGTGAGGGTCTTGAAGTCAGCTTCGACTGAATTCAAGGTGAAGCGTCACAAAATCTGAAATGTGTATTTTGGTGGGAAGGAGTTGCCAAAGTTCGTTCTCAACTGACGGTACCTCCTGCTGGCTTTGTGTGTCTGAGCACGGTGATGGATTGTGCAGTGAGATGAGGGCAATGCCAGTGGTCATATTTGCTATTGAGCATCTGGAGATTGTCAGGCTATAAACTCCCCATCGCAGTGTAATGGTTCCTTTGAGATAATGGGAAGTTTTGAGGAGACAATGGGGAATTACATCCTCAAAGCTTTGGTGTACACAGAGATGTTGAGCTTATGTAGACGCATTGCAGAACGCACTGTCTTGACAGCACGTTTTGGGGGGACTAGAAATGAGCATCACCTGTCAAGAATAATGTCCTCTGCATGGTTTCTTTTGTGGCATTTCAATGGAAATGTGTCTTTGTTTGCCACTTGGCCCCTTTGGACTCAGCACAGAAAACCTGGACTTTGTATGTGTTTGTTTATGGGCTTCTCTTACATGTGACTTGCAAGCCACAGCACTAAGCATTTTTACCTCCTGTTCATTGTTTTCCCCTCAGTTTGCAGCCCTCCCAGCCCTGCAGTCCCCCACTGGAGCCATGGTGACATCTTTTACATCACTCGGCCTTCTTCCTGGGGCTGCTGGGGGTTTTAGCCCTGAGTAATAGGAGTGCTCCCCACAGCTCTGCAATTTGCTCGGTGGTGCCTGTTCTCTTCTAGTGGCTGGCACTGACTTCTTTCTATATTTTTTCACGTGTTCTGTGGAAGACAGATCAGTATTTTCAAATCACAGTTACAGACAGAAAACCATCTGTGACAGTCATTTGGAGAATACACAACATATAGAGCTTATTGAGCATCTTTTAATAGACTCCGAGTTTTGTTATGAACTAACCTTTCTTTGAAAAGAATAAGGAAGTTTGGCTAAGTTTTTTAGTGAACCTTCTCACCATATCAGCTCTCTGTGCTAGACAATACAGGGGAGCATCGTGGGGGGCTGCGAAGCTGTCAGTGCAGCACTGAGTTCTCCCACTGCCGGTTTTGCAGGCAGCAATCAAGAAAAGGAAAGAGCGTGAAGGGAGATGCCGCTCAGTACATGCTCACTCACTGCTGCTCTTTTTTGCTCTCCTGATTTTTCCTTGTGTTATGTAAGCTTGTTGCCCGTGTCACTTGAATTCATGCACATTTATGGTGCCTAGTCGCTAATAGGAAAATACAGTTTTAGATCAAAGAGTAGCTGATGAATAAGAAGCACTTATTCAACAGTTGCTGATTGCAGTAATTTGTTATGTATGCGTGTGCAGTCAACAACAGACAAAATCATAGTATCAATACTAATTGAAATGCTGTATACAGTAGCATCCAGTGTGACTTGCTTCAGCCTTTGCTTTCTCCTGTGATTCATTGCTTTTTCCCTAGAACATACGGAGAGAGTCCATTGCAACCCATTTCTTTGCAAGGAGTCAGCAGTTTTGTTTGTATAAGGAACAAAGGAATGTAGAGGGCTCCACTTTGGAGGAGGGACTCTTTCATCTGCAAGTTGGATGAAGATTCTATTTCCTAGCTGAAAAAAGTCATCTTTTAAGACTTTTTCTTTAAATGTAGTAAATGAAAAAAAAAATAATTTGGGGGTACTTGTGGAAGACTTACAGATACCACATAATTTTAATTTAGTTTAGTTAAGAAGGATGGAAGGATGGAAGGATGGAAGGATAGAAGGATGGAAAGAAGGAAGGAAGGAAGGAAGGAAGGAAGGAAGGAAGGAAGGAAGGAAGGAAGGAAGGAAGGAAGGAAGGAAGAGATGCAGTACTTCATAGGTATCTAGGACAATTTCTAGGACTAAAATAAGCAAAAAAAAAAAAAAAAAAAAAAAAAAAAGTAACCTAGTAAAAACCTAATTCAGTCTACTTCAAACTAGTGTCAAATTTCTTATTTTCCTAAACCACAGCCTAAAGTAACATAAATCTGTTTTCTTCTAATATGCAGACAAATAAAATGATACAACTGTGCTTATCAGATAGGGTAATTCTGACAGCACTGACTTCTGCCAGGCTGGGAATATCATTTAGTGGTACATACATCAGAGATATAATCCATGTAACCTGGTATCTGTTGGCTGAAGCCACCTTCTTGGAGCCTATGGGAGTGTACATTTGTCTGTTGAGCCCTTTAAGCTCTGCAGAAGCAGGCAGGACTGTTCTATCACACCTAAAATCTCTTGCTTCTCAGCTGCTGCCTCCAGCAGTAGGTTGAGGTGTGGTAGCAGTTTGTTCACACTTGAGCACTTCTGAGATCTTCCTGCTGATTGTGTGGAGTTAGGTCTTTTCTAATGGGTTTCCACCTTATAAGATTGTCTTCCCCTTAATGCTTCTTGGTTACCTTTCTTGAAACCCTCAATCTCTGCTGGAATTGGGAAGGAAAAAGGTTGGAAGAAGCGTGAAACAAGTCAGCTCTTCCATGTGAGCTGCTGCTGCTGCCTGCAGATGGCACAAGCCCGTGCAGTACCCAACCGAGCAGCACCTCTTGCTGCTCCTTCCCAGTGTGGGGCAGCTGCTCCTGGACCTGCCAGGGTGCCTCTGCTCCTACATAACCCTTCCAATAATCTCTGTGCTTTCTTATCTTGAGGAGTTTCTTATCTTGAGAGCGGTTGCATTTAATTTTTTTCAAGCATTCACTGATAATATGGTGATTGAATCGATTTTTACATAGCATTCTTCAGAAGGGGATATCACTCTTGAAGCCTAAGGAATTATGAAATATAACTGTGGAGCCTTTCCTATACTTCTCTTTGCTCAGCCTGTGCCAAGCAGCAGCCCAGTGCTTTCATAGTCTGCCATGGAGCAGCTTTCTTTCAGCCCTCATTTGTTATGGCTTGGCAAGAGCTGGAAGCAATCCTCTTCATAGGATTTAAATGGTTGGTGTAAACATTAACAGACTAAGATATTTATTGCTTACACCTGGCAATAGTATATTAAGGAAAGTAGATTTTTTTTTCCCCTACACTTAGAGCCATTTAGTAACAGAAATCCCCGTTAGCTTGGCTAATCCAGTGCCTTGTCTTCCTAACCTCTGCAGCCCCTGCTCCAGAC